TGAAGGAAGAGAGCATCGTAAGAACAGATAAACGGGAAGGGTTTGTGCGAGTACGTATGTAGAAAGGCAAAAGCCATTTACATAATTCAAATGGTCAAGGATGCCAGTAAAGGTATGAATGCAGGTATACCTTTAAATGATAATGAACAGTTAATGGAAAAAATCGATAAATTCGTCTAAGCATGACAGATAGTAATTGGAGTCAAGGGAACATAAAGACATCACCGCCGCTTCGCAAAAAATTGAAGAACTTTCAAACAATAATATTTGAAAAGTATATGAAATCATTATTCAAGCTCTATTTCATTTGTTCGTATGATTGGAATTGTGTGTTGCGTACTAATTGGGTAGATAATTTTGAAGCTTCAAGGTTCTCATTTCCCCAACTGGATTACCAAATGAATTCATATTCATTATAATTTATCCAGAATATTTTCCACTTCGGGCTTTCATCTTAAACTTCAGTTTATTTCTCTTTAAAAATCGAAAATATTTACTTAATCTTGGCGTAGCAAAGCTGCCAGCTTGTCAAGACTAAGCAGATAGTATTCAATGAGGTAAGACACAAGAGTTAGTTTTGCTGATAATATTTCCTATTGCGGTTCTTTAGCCAATCACTCAGTTTGAGTTGACTGTATTTCTTAGGAAGTGCAGTGGTGGGCTCCTCGCATAAACAAAACCTTGTCGAACAGATAAGAAGTAATTTGACTTGAAGTGTCAGAGACCGATTTTAGAGCTTCCTACATTGCACAGTTTGGTGTAATTTTTCATATTGATCTACATACCGTATTCGATTTAGAGACTTATTATGCAAAGTGTTATTATTCCAAGATCTATTTCATTTCCATTCAGGAGGCACGTTTAAAACAAAATTTATTTATTAGAATACAAATTTAAATATTTGATCTCAATAATCTAGTAAGATGGGTATTGAAACTTGACTTGAATATAGGTTGTGGAAGACGAAATCAAATTGTTTTATATATTACTTGAGAATGTAAAGTTCACATGAATTGGTAATATTCTTTATCCTTTCCATCCTTATAAACATGCTCATCATCTTTTTCTATTTTTGACATACTGATTTACAAATTAGATGATAATTTGAATTCATTTATTTTCCATTTATAACTTTAAATTCTAGATTGGCTAATGCCATCACACCCACTTTCATACTTCATACAATAGTTGTTAAGAATTTTTCGAATTCATGTTGAGCAGTGGTGTATGAAATGTGTATTTCTCATACTTCGTATTTTAATTTCTTCGAAAAAATAGAACTTAAACAAAATATCGAATTTTATCGAACACACCGCTTTATGGCCTATTCCTGTATACAATATGTTAAAATCTCTATTTATCTCAAAGTGACGATTTAAACTCATTAATTGCTCGACTCTGATCTGCAACGGTGAGATCAAGTTGGCTGATTATGATAATGTAAATGCGTTCTCCATCCAGGGAAAATGGGGGTGTTTCGCAGGGCATTCTTCCATTTCGAAGCGCAAATTATTCATTTATTAAATATTGTACTGGCTGGCAAAAAATAAAATGCAGCAAGCACATTTGGTACAAATTTTTCATTTTCTCTCCTTCATAACTTTTTTAATCTCACTATTCTAACAATCGCTTAACTATTCCTGAATTTAAAGAAAATAGGAGTTTCAGCTATCTGCTTTAAAATTTACCCAAATTTTAGCGCTTATTAACAATTATATTCAGGCAAAACACTAGAATTGATCTTTGTTTCACTTAAGACCGGGACCAGTAGACATGATCTTATTTATTCATGCGTCCCAAAAAAAGACTTTCTTAGTTATAAACTTCCCCAAATACTATAGTTGCAGGTGGGAAGCTAGCTGTTTCAATTCGCGTCTCGTGGCAGACAGATAAACGCATTTAACAGGTCTTTTTATAATTAGTTGGAGTTTTTAAGGCATTAATGTTATAAATCAAATATTGCATAAATATAAAACCATAATTCGAAAATATAAAAGCAGGATGATCAAATAATAAATATGATATATGGAAAAATAGTAAAAGGGTAGATAGGTCTAAACCTATTCGATTTATAAGAATAGGTGGGGGGGGGTGGGTGGAGGAATCGAGAATACCTTCTTGACGGGAACTACGAATTAACTTAGTATGCATCTTTTACACTATAAAGAGACTCGTGTATGCATCACAGAAGGATCCAGCAATAGCATTATTAATCAGAAATAGCAAAACTAAGTCGCTGTGCTCAAAATAGCCGATGAGCGTTTGCATAAAAATTGCTTTAAAATAAAAAATCTACAAATATTCAGTTAATTCATCAACAATTGTATTTTGCCTCCAAACGCAAAGATGCATAAAAATTCAGAATGTGCGGGTGATTCATTAAATATGCATAAAGTTAGGTACACTCTTTCTGTCTGCTAATTTCTTAAAGCAGTTGATTCTATAAACAGTTTGAAAATCTTATAAAACATGGCTGCTTCTAGACTGATGTTAAATTTCAGTAGTATTTCATTATGTAACAGCAAACTTATAACAAAAGCACTTGAATCACTGAGAAGATAAGTGAAGCATTAAATCGCTTCCCTAAATGCAGTTAAATTTAAAACAACATTGGGGTGACGTTTTGGCTTCTTTTGAGCCTGTTGTCAAGATGTTTCTAGGTACTTGGCGCAATTAGCTACCTAACTATTGTTGCTGCCTTTGGCGCATATTGGGGCTGGATATGTTCAAGATGTGCTGATGGAAGTCAGTGGGATCTTTTTACAACTGTAAACTATAAAAAATGAATTAGTATAGTACTGTATTTACGAAAATTATTGTCCAATAGAGTTTTTAGTAAACAGCCTTACAACTTCAATAAAATTGATATGATAATGCTGATTTCAATCAAAATCGAGGATAAAATTTAAAATGATTCATTCTTGAATAGTAGCTTGAGTTGCTTCTTGCAAAGTACGACGAATGATAGAGGCGGCGGGTTGAAAGGATATTTGGGACCAAGGGAAGAAATCAAGTTGTCCTGCTGTTTTTATTTCGAATTCGGGTTATACAATACTTACTTTATGTAAGATTCATACTCCAACCTCCACTCGATTTATGGAGCAGATAATTTCCATGATATATTTATTATTGTCAGGTAATTCCTATAACAGCCGTCTCTGGCACTTAAATCTTACTCTAAATCTCTCTAAATCCCCACACAATGTCTAAATCACCTATAAAATTAACGTGATAGAGCTGGGGCAATTCAACCGATCAGTTCTCAGGTAGGGGAGTTCAACCATGGTAACCGTTAGGGGCCTCTGTAATATTTTCTCAAAGAAAAATTATGTAAAATAAGGAATTCGCAATTCAGCCCTTACTTCTCATTTCTAACAAGTAAACTTCATCTTTTAATCGAATTAGTCGCATAAATTGACATAATGTGGCAAAAGTGATCCTCAATGAATGATAGAATTGCGGCCAAAAACTAAAGCAATAAAAATATTTTGATATTAAGTTCTAATCACAATTTCTACGATAATAAGCATAGCAAAATCGGAGAAAATGGCTTTAATGGTTTAACATGGACTACAAGACCACATTTCTTAATATAATTTATTATGGGTGGAAAAACACTTGTTACTTCGGTAGAACTAACAATAAAAAAATGTTCGGAACACCCTATCGGCTTGAATAAATATTGGTTTTGGCTTTTTTGCCAAAGTCTCACAAATATTGACAAGTAATTCATATAAAACGGGAGGAACTGTGAGCTAACTACTTGCGGCTATTACTTTATTTTTTGCCTAAAGCAAAGCTGAACTACTCTTGACTTTATTGTCTGTTTTTGTAATTGCTTTGGAATCCTTTGAATATTTTATAAATGACAAAATTTTTAAATTTTATATGTAAGGCAAACAATTTTAAGCTGAGTTAATTTTTGTAACTTGGCTTTTGAATTTCATTTCCTTGCATTTCTAACGACATCGTGCTTCAAATGATTGCATTCATCACTTGTATTTATATCAAATGGTAAGCGTATCATTAGCCCTTTAGTTAACTACGGGCTTCATAGAGGGGAGGAGGAATATGAAAGTGAAAAAGTCAATAGGGAGGAACGGAAGAGTGATTTAAAGGTGTAAAAGAGACAGACACAAAGGTAGGGAAAAAGGTAAAATGAGTACTATGGAAGTGTTCGAAAATGACATACCGTGAGGTCATGGTAATTTGAAGTCAGAAGTCAACTGCCGAATAATTGACTTTTTTGCCGTATGAGTATATGTTGCCCAGGGTGTACCACGTGGAGGTAAGTCTATTGCGCACCCCGCATTCATCAAATGTAACATATCTTAACAAAACCTTCCATTTTTCCAAATTAGAGACTAATTTTAATATATTTAATATTTAATGGTTTTGTGACAAGCATTAAAAACTAAATTTGTAATAATATGAAATACATGTAAATGGAATCCTTCTGATTGATAGCTATTGCATCTCTAGTTTGCTTATAATGGAATCTCATTCAATTTTAAAGCAAACTTCCAAAAATTCTAATACCGTAGATTAATAAATAAAAAATTGATCGGTTTTAAATTTATCCTCTTAGATGATATCGTTCAGAAAATGATGAAAACTGATATATTTAAAAATGAATTTTGTGATTTTACCAACTTACTGTTAGGTTAGGGTCCTATTAACCGGTGATTAAAACGAATTTGTAGTCCAAAAATCGCCTTCTTTTTCCCCTTAAGCCAATATTAGCTTGTTGGTTTAAGTGAGGATTTTTCAAAGCATTCCAACCTTGATAGGAAGCAGAAAAGATCATTTCTGATTTTATCTTCAACTCATTTGTTGAGTTTCAAAATTATACAAGTGGGGAAATTTAAGCGAAAGGAAAATTAAATTTTGATTGAAATTTTAGTATAAAATTTTATTAAATGGTGTGCAAACTAAAGCAAATCTAAACTCATATCGTCATATTGTTATTTTAGGAACTCACGAAGTTTGCATGGTTGAAAATGCCCCGACAATTGCTTGTACGGGGAGCACTAAAAATTACAACAAATGAGCGTATCAGCATTGTGCCCCAGTCTTCTACTAGTGTCTTCCAACTTCGATTCGACCCAGTTATTAAAGAAGACTCTGGCGAATATCGATGCGTCTTCAATCACAAGACTGGTTCTAAGTATAAAGTTGTGGTTGTTAACATTCAAGGTGCGTCGGATATTATCCATATGAAAAAGCTGATAGCACAATACTTTATCATTTTAAATAGCCTTAATCTCGCTTTTAATAAGCAAGTCCAAAAAATGAAGTAAAGCAGAGTACACCTTCTTTATATTTGCTGTAGACACTATAATAGAAACCAAGACCGCATGCCATTACACAATGGGCACTTTTGAGTGGCTTTAATAGAATAAAACCACCTAATTGTAATCCCAAAATTCTAAATCTATTCCCTTAAAACATATTTACAATCTTGTACAGGCCAGATTAATACTTCAATGGCTGCCCATAATATAGTAAGAAAGGAAAACCAATCGTCAATCAACTTCAAAGGGTTAAACCATAGAAAATGTTTAACAATATTTTATTATTTAAGTCAGTTAGCTTTATTACATCTTGCAATTACTTATAATTCACAAACATTGAAAACCACTGTTTCAGGTGTTTTTCAAATATTAATTCAAATTATTAAAACTTTCAAAATAAAAATATTTAAAAGCATTCCCAGTTTAATATTCAAGAATCTATAGAAATTATTTTTATTCAAAAATCTATTTTAGCTCCCAAGTAGATTCTCACGGATCTGAGGGATTTGAAAACTTCAAAATCAGACTTGAAATTACAAGATGGCCAAAAAAAACGTTAACTTAAAATTAGTATCCACTACTTAACGAGCCTTAGACGAGACATAGATTTTGACTTCTGTGTTTATTAACCGCTAGTATGCGTTCATATGAGATACACGTCTGCTCTAGTAATACTTTTCAGGCTGCTGTAAATATTCTCAAATTTTCCTCTTATTTTCCTGATTGGATGACTAGAAGACCAGCCGTTGTGAAATTTATATTCTTACTAAAATATCGAAAGCATTCCTTCATGTTATAATTTGCTCAATTCTATTACCTGTATTCCTAACTTTAATAACTTAAGCAGTAATAACGAATCATTTCACTGCAAAGTATGACTCTTTTAATTCGATTATTGGGAAACAGGTCTTAAGGGAAGGGAAATACATCAAAATAACCTTTAATGAAACAAAGCTAGTAACATTTACCGAACATGACCAAAGAAGCAAATACTTGCAATGACCACAGCATTCATCTGGCTATAACTTTCAAGCGATTTAAGATAAAACAGTGCTTTACAAAAAAATAACATGACTATTTCTGATTATGAATTTTGCTACATTTCATATCCACCGAACGTGTTCAAATTAATACTGATGCCTAAGAGCGCTGTAAGAAACATGCTATGCCCGAAGCTCTTTAGAAGTGTATTGCATGGATTTAAGTTACACATATTTGATTTCAGCTTTGGTTATCCATAACTAAACCTTAAAGCCATGTTATTTAAGCTTTAAGAAGTGATTTCTAGAGTCGGAAAAGATTTAAATAAGGATGTAGTTATTTCTCTCCGACTTAATTTTTTTCATTGGGAATCACGTTTTGGTTAAATTTTAAAAAAAAGTAGACAAGAAATTATATTTCAGTCAAAATAAACTATTTGCCAAAAAAACAATTATTATAAGTATTCTACGTGGGGTATAATGCTAGGTTGACCAGTTTCTGTGTATGATATATATGCTCATTGAATACCACAAGAGTGCAGCTGACGCAGACTTGAGTGAGAGGTTTAAAACAGACTGGAGTTGACCAAAGCTATTTATGCTTCAGTCATCTACCAGTATTCTTCTTATTATCGGAGATCAAAACGCCAACGAACCGGTAATAGTATTCGTTCCAGCAACTGTCAAGCCGTCAGGTATTGATTATGATAAACGGTACCTTTAACAACCTGAAGTATTGCCCATGCCGGAAGAATACAAAAGACATATACGCCGATTATAAATATGCTTCAAATATAAATCCATACGGAAATATGCATGTCCGTTTGGCAATCGTTAATAGATTTGGGAAAAGGTGTTACTTATCTACTACTAACTGTCTTTCTATAAAATATTTAGTTAGGCCAAAAGTGGACATAGATCCCAGGGGCGAAGTTGATGTTCTAGAAGGTGAATACGCATTCGTGATGTGCAATGCCTCTGGAACACCCTCTCCACAATTTCGTTGGTGGATGCTCCCACTATCATCATACCAGAACTATTATAGTCAATACGGTTTTGATTACTATAGTGAAAGCCAAGTTACCTTAGCATTTCCTACACAGAATACTCAACCGATTGATCCATACTCACCAAATCTCCCGCTATCACCAAGAGAAAACTACCTCAACCTAATTCCAGTACATGAACTTGCCTCAAAATACAAGCAAAGTGAGTTTCACTTAATTTAAGGCATCTAAAAGTATTTTGTACACTATTCATAATTATTGAGATTTTTTCATTGAAGTTCATGTGATCAAAACTCTTCTATAATAGTCCATTTAAAAAAAGTAACTATAACGATGCTTACTTCCAAAGGTTACTGTAATAAAATAGGAATACGGTAAACTCCCCTTCCTTGAAATGTAAAGATATCTGTTGAGAATAAATTCAAATTTGTACCACTTTATAAATAGCACCCTAAACATACGAAATGCGTTCTTTGATAATGAAGAATATTTTTTAAGGAAATAGACGAAAATGGCTCAGCTTTCGTTGACGGAGAAGTGACAGCTTTTAGGGCCTGTTAAGCACATTTCTCAAGTTTCAGCTCAGTGTTGCAGATCCTCCATCTTCCATTAGGAAGATCATTTAACTGGCACAAACTAAACTTGCAGGTAGAAACCAGCTGAAGCACGTTAAGTTAAGAAGCCTCGCTGAACTCTTCTCAATGAAGTTGTAATATAATAAAAGTGAATTAACAAATAGCTCCACAACATTAATAACGATAACTTTCACTAGTTTTTGCAACGACCCGTGTGATGCATTTGACTCTCATTCATTATATAATTTAGAATCTGGTATAATATGGAAGGTGGTTTCAAAGTATAAGGATGAGGAAATTTCATCGTAATCCAGAAAATCGACCTCATATTTTGAAACAAGGATGACTGGCTTTCTTGCAAATTTCATCTTGCTCATTATCACTTATTTTCTAATATTATAAAGTTCAGCATTCAATTAATCCTATGTGCAATTTTTCTCGTTTATACTTAAAATTAATTCTAGCAAAAGTTACGCAATTAGACATTAGCAGAGAAATGACAATATTGAGAGGGTGTTCGTATGCCGTTTACTAAGCAATATTTGCTTTTTGTTTCAAAATGTGCCAAAGGTGTTCACAAAGAAAACATTTACTTCTAAATTTAAATAAAATTTCTTCCATATATCTGATGATAAAGAACGTGAGTGGTTGAAACCAATCTGAATGATGAAAGAGAATAATTTGTACCATGGTGAATAGCGGCGACCTTCAAAATAAGGAGATCGTGGACGCTCTTCAGTTCCCCTCACCCCCCCCCCTCTCAACATAGTAATAGAATACAGCATGAAATGGAGAATTCCAATGGAAATAACGGGACTTATGTGACTTGAAGACAACCATATAACAGGCGTCTGATCTGGGTGATTGGACATCCAGGCATCTGAATTTAATCTTTGACACCACAGTAAATTGAAGTTGTCGTCCCCTACCACGAAGCTAGCACTCAATGAAAACCTACCCCAATCTTCTTACAAGCAAGCCTCGTGGAAGTTAACTTCTCACAAAAAATCATTTTCCTTTTTCAAAGAACCTGTACATTTTTCTACAGGTTTATGCAGATTAGATATATCTACCAAAATTGACTAGAAATATCAGGAATGCTTCACCAATATATGAGTTGGCCTGCCTTTTGAGAGATAAACAGGCATATTTAACAGTAGGATGTCATTTTGGAGAATGCCGGCTATATATATATTTGTATATTACCTTAAACGTACAAAATAATTACCTGTTATTCATAGATGCTAGTAGACTCCTCATTACATTTAGCTTTGACTGTAAGAATGTATTTGACCCAATGGTAATAATATTCTTAGCGCTGGTGTCACTAATTAGAGGGGTAAAGTCAATAAGTGCTAATGGAATTGTCTACAAAGGCTGTGAACTGTGTGAGATATTCCGATTACAACAGTATAATAACGATTGAATGCCATATGTCGAAGTTTCTCAGAAACTCATCATTCATTTGAAACCAATCGCATATCCTCAATTACACTGTTCATGAGAAACGTGGATTTGTTGTTTACCTAAAATCCCTCCAGTTCAAATGATTGTAACCACTTGATTTATGCCTAACTGCAGATTTTAGAATGTCTCTGTGATTGTGAGAAGGGCTTAACGAACAAGCTTAGGAGTTACTACGTTAGACACTTTTAACAATAAGGCATAATTTTGTTTTAGGTTCCGAGTCTGTAGTGAACGATAATGGCGGTTATTTTGATCGAAATTCTTTGGCAATACAGCAATTTCCTTGTGTGCGGAATCCCATTCAATTTATTAAGTGTTATTGCCAGTTACTACTTTTAAAATGATTAGCCTAATGAATTCATCTCGTCAGCACAATTTGAATACTACTCCATAAAGTACAATTCACATGTACAGCTTTTAGGTTAGTTAGAACAGATGCTTTGAACTTACGTAACTGTTACTTAGTATATGGTTTCTTACAAACCTGTAGAACAATTATAAAATCAATCATCTCAAACATTTATGTTCGCTTATTTTATATTTGCGAAGATTATTTTTCACAAGCTAATCTTCGTGCGTATTTTAATTTGCTAAATATATTATTAAAAATTCTGTTTAAAGTATTAGGTCGTAAATTTACTCATCCACGTTCCCCAGCCATTAAGATATCATCTAAAGTGTTCTTACTCAGTCAATTAATTTCACTTAACTATATCTCTATAACAACGTGTTGAAGCATGTATGAAATTTAATTAATTATAAGGTAAATTCGAAAAATTAAAAATATCTGCAGGATTTAGAATTCATTATTTCACACGGACACAATTTCTGGAAAATCAAATTTTGAAACACAATTTTTAATGCTTAATGTTATTTCAGAAGTATGCCTGAGAAGTATGTTTGAGATGAAGTATGCGTACTTGAATAAATTCAGTCAGCATTATGAAAAATTATTGACTAAATCTGAGGCGAGCATATGACCACTACAAAGAAAAGCCATCAAAAGAAACACATGGTGCATCAAATAAAGACCTGATCATCTTATGAGATCCTGATCAATATACTAAATATTAGATTTAAAGACTGAGAAATGGGTTGCTTTAAATCATATCATATTTTGTATTTCCTTTGAAGACATCTTTCTACGAAGCGGAAAACTAATCATAAATGCAGTCAACCGCGAGATGACCGGATGGTACTTCTGCGAAGCGCACAACTCCGTCAAACCTTCAGCCATTGAAAATATTTTTCTCAGCGTCAACTGTGAGCTCATTTCATATCTTTTTCGCGAACGAAATTTCATTATTTCTCAACTTAGCCTCGATTTTTGACCTAGTACTGACACTTTTAGGATATTTTTTATATTTAGGGTGCTTATCCACTTGAAACCATGAAAACAGAATGATTTACCATAATGGCTAAGCGTAGATAAAGTACGCGTATCACATTGAAAAATCATCGGCTTAAACTCTAACACTAGAAATAAAAATGATTTTAAGAAATTTAAGTTTTTGAATGCTCTTTCTTGGAGGTCAGCAATATTAGCTTTAATACGTATAAACTAACGTTTGTAGAACATGCTATCTTGCGAGCTTTGAGATGGGCATTAACACTCATTATAGTCATGATTTCAAGAATACTAAGAGGTTGACTAGTTGAATCATTGACAACTGAAGTTAATGAAGACTATTGGCCCCATCACTTAAATGTCGACTTTCTAGAACATAAATTTAATAATACTCATGAAAGTATGTTAATGATCGAGAACTAGTGGAGAGATCATAGATGAAGTCTATTAAATCAGAGTAATGAATACGCTTAGTACATTTAAATTTGAATGCGCCATGCATTCATCAACTCTGGGAATTCAGCTGCAGATGAGTTTAGTAACATACATACATATTAGCCATGCAAGGTTTATGGCGCTTTATTATTGTTTAGAATGGGCATTTGAAAAAACACTTCTTCAAACAGTGCCAATTACTTCAATATATTTTTACGAATGTGCAAACTAAAAGTACTCCGATGCGAACAAAAGTTATATTATTTAAACTTTTAAAATTTAATGGAAATAATGTAATTATATTACACAGAAATCGAGATCGAAATGCATAGTTACATCACATTTGCATAATCTGTGGAAATGCAATAAAGTGAAAATCATCGAGAAAACTCGTGTGATTAATGGGACATTAATTACCATTTCCAGCTGGTTCACCCAAAGACAGGAAATTTCCCCAACAACCCATACGATTTGAGCCTCTGACAACTTCTATGCGATTCCAATGATCTGCATAAATGTTTACAGAAAAAACTTCCCAGAAAGGAGAATTCCAGTGGTGTAGATAGGCCGAAATTATGCAGAATAAATTTTGCGAGAGAAGAATGGAATAATCGCCAGTATTAGCAATACCTTATTCGCTGGTGAACAACCAAGAAAATCATTATTTTTCAACTGAGGTTAAATAGCTCAGCATGAGCGCACCACATTTTGCTACTGAAAAAAATTGCCAATTTCAAAACTGCACTTATAAACGCTTAGTATATGCAATGAGAAATAAAACCGGTTCTTTATTGCACTGTCAGGACGTTTGAGGTTAAAATTATTTTTCTGTATCTGATTCAGAGGCCTTACGTAAGCTCTCTTTCCTGCTTGTTAACCAAAAGCTTCTGCGTATTTTTATTTCAGATGTTCCTCAAGTCTTCTTATCTCAAAGGGAGGTATTTTTTGCTCCTTATGGAAATGTCAGTCTGGTTTGTGAATTTCAGGCATTTCCAATGGCTAAAGTGGAATGGTTATTGGATGGTCGTCTGTTGGATGCGATTCCATGTGAGTATGCAGGGTTCCATGTAACAACTTGGTGTACTGGTATGAAATCAGTATATTGAATACCTCAAATAGGAAAAATTATCAATAACTCTACATTTTATACCAGAGAAAAAGATAGAAACGGAGAATAGTACAAGCGTAAAATCCTCGCATGGTTTCAGTGATTCGCTATACTATCTGGACTACCCTAGTTTAGTAATGAAAGAAAGTACAAGTAAAAGAAAAGGCCGATTTCGAAAAATCGATTTAACGAGATCAAGCAGTAGCTTCAATCTCTATGGAAAGCGTCTGAAGTCAATACTACACATATGGGTTACAGATGCCAAGCACTTCGGAAGATATAACTGCCGAATGCAGACGAAGCACGGCCGAGCTGATGGCTTTATAAGACTCCGAAATAAAGGTATATGAATATTCCTTTCATTTCTAGTATCATTTGTCTCTTGGATCTCATTCTTTTAATATATTTAATCAAAGATGGGATTTAAATAGGTTGATCAGAGCTCCCACTGCAGTAGTAATTAACTTTCAAAAATGAACTAATTGCAGTAAATGGTCTATTTACACCAATTCTGTTCGATGCCTCAGTATCTTCAAATATTCTGTTGAGATTCTTTTCGATAATAACATATTCTTAAAGGTTGCTTGGCGATGATCAAACTGATTAATTTTTTAAGAAGTTACTAATTCTAATCGTATTTGTTCTGTTCTAACCAATTTTGAATTTGTTTAAAATAAAACAAAAAGCTTACATCGGAATGGACAGAGCTTAAAATCCAAAATTGAGTTTCTTAGACCTACTTAGACTTTGATTAAAATTAAGATTTGGAAATCAAAACCATTTGGTCCGATAGATCTATTAATTTTTTATTAATGCAGGTGGATCTATTATCGAGCCGTTTGGGTATGTCGACCGTAAACTCAAACAGAAAGACCCTGCATCAACAGTTCTAGTAGCTTCACCAATTGTACCTTCTAATGGTGTCTACACTAAACAGGAATCGATGTTTCCCTATCTTTACTTAGAAACAACCAACTCCGCGAATTCTAAATATTTCACACCTTTTCGCTTCTTATTGACAGTCATTACAATTGTACATTTACCAACTCTTTAATCATTATCTGAAATTGTCTATTTTGAAGAAAAAATAATATTACCTGGTGTTGTGATCAGTGGATTTTCTGGAGTTGTCCAATCACTTCTTACTAATATAACTTTGGAATGTTAATTGGGAAACATTTTACAAATTAATCGCATACCTTAGAACCCAAAATGAAACAAAGCAGGCAGTGCAGCAGATTTTTAATTCATATCCCAACTAGCTTTTACAATAATTGGAACATATAAATTCTAAAAAGGCAAACATAAAGCTAAATTTTAATTTTGCGTTCATAGGTTCTTAATTTCTTTCAACATAAGGGCATGAGCAATTTTTGAACCCAAAAGCACGCGAATATGCTCTTATATTTTATGAAACTGAAATGCGTCCAAGCATATTATAAAGAAGAAATGAATGTGACCTTACGAGGGCAGAAAACCACTTCTGTTCTTGACTGGTGACGTTTTAAGTTTTACTTCTAACATCAGTTTTCTATTGCAGTTTTCTTGTACTATAATTCCAATTAGATAAACTTTAAGGAAGTATTTACCTTACCTAATATTTTAATAACGATTTTAGTTATAATTTAACTGATATATTAATTCCGTAGTTAGTTATAATATACTCGGGAGGAGATTTGAACATAATGCTAAATTTTTGGAAATAGTGGAATTCAAATAGCATAATAAAATCACTTTTCATGACCCCAATATTATCGTTATCTGAACAGCAGTTTAGTTTGTCATACCTACTACTTGAAGCGTAAAGCAGCATGTACTAAAGTTTGAAGTCCATTTGTATACCCTCTTCAGCATCGTTGGCATATCCATGACTGCATGTTTGTCAATACAGAAGTCACCGGATCGACTTCTACCTAGCTGGTGTATACCTTAAACCTATCGACTTTGGACCATTTTCAACATTCCTTGAAAGTCTAATTTTTTCTTCATCAAAATTTGTAGATCATGGCAAGTTTATACGTCAAAATATTTATATATATTTAAATGTTAAATGATGTTCAACGTTATCATTAGATATGGTAACAATCATTATATGTGAATGCTTAATATCCTTTTATTCCGTAGATTAGTAACTCTCATTTAATAAGTCAAGTTTTTTTACCCTATTCAACACTGTCGTTATTTTATTCTATTCCTTAAATTGAACGCAGTAGCTAAACTCAATCTAAGTCAGCTACCTAGTTATAGTCATTGTTGAAAGACATCCAAAAAACCAAAATCCCCCACGGAGCGCAAGACTCCCTTGGAACATCTAACTTTGAGTTCTTTGGTGTTTTTCGTTATGCAACACCGAGATAAGGATTTAACTAATTTAGACTTTGCAGCTTCCATTCAGTTTTATAATTACTTGTTATAAGGAGATTTTTTATTTTCCAGGCATTTCGTTATGAACTTCTTCTCTTGAGCTTCCGATATTCATTTTTAACAGAGGTTTCATTCTGTTTTTCTTTAGATGAAATATGAAAACAACAGTTCATCTGCCAAACACAGTATTTAACTTTAATTCATAAAATGAGGGAAGCTTAAAGATATACTGTTATCCAGTCTAGGCCAATATTACAAAGTATGAATTAGAGTGTTTATTTCTTCATTCTTAAATGGCCTGTTATAAGTTATCAAACAAAGAAATCTTCACCGCGAATGACCCAAGCTCCTATTTTCTAGCATTTTAACATGGCTTGCACATACTTCGTTTGAGCTTTAAAGCAGCCAAGGTATGGGTTTGTTATATTAAAGGAAAGGTTAGTTGAAAAGCAAACAATTCTAATCAGTCATTTAAAAAACCGAAATAAATAAATATATATATATGAATATAAGTATCTCAAAATAAAAATCGATAAGCATCTATTTCATTTCTCGAATATTTAACTATTCTCGGAAAGTTGACTTAAAAATAGCATCTGAGACGCATAAAATATTTTTTAACACCCCTAAGAAACTCAAAAGCTTCTTTTAAACCCGAATTAATTTTTTTGCTCTACCTATTTATCATGAGATCAGAAGCCAATATCATATATATTCAGGTTTTTTGAAATTCTACACCTAAAATGAAATATGGAATCTCTTGCAAGAAGAAAGTGTTTGCCGGTAATCAAAACCTACATTCAAGAATAATTTTATAACCTCTAGATATGGGTAACAAAAGAATATTCGTACACTAACAGAGTCTTCATATAATTTAAAATAACTCATGTAATTTGTATACTCAAATATGTCCTATTTCAAGGTTTCAGAACCAAAAATTTAAGACCGGAATTTACTTTTGCTTGAATTCATATTCTTAATTTGCGATGTTTTATAAAAGCTATATCAGTTTAAACCCTTTATGATTTTTACCGCAAGACAAAAGACTGATGGAAAATACTGAACGAGCTAAAGTAGTTAAATTACAGTGGTGTTGGGGAGTTAGGCTGAAGACGAGGTGATTTATTTCATGAAAGAACATGGATTGCATCTGAAAGCATTAAAATATTATTTGTTAAAGACACCTATGAATTGGAGGAATTACGGAGTCTGTTATTTCTTACTACATCCCACTAGTACATTATAATGAAAATTTAAAGCTCTATTGAATTAACAATAACAGAGTAAGTTATTCTCTCTCAGTCACGATTTGATCCAAAATTGGATTAGCTTTAGTAGCTGATCATTCGAACTTGATTGTATTTCATTCACTTTTATCTAAACCAAGTCAACTACTGAAAACTCAAATCCATATGAAATGGCGAGTTACTTCATTCTACCCACTATTTATTTGAGTAAATTTCGGTCCGCTTTTTAATTCCTGTCAAAATTTAAAGCAGTATATTTCTTTCATTTAAAGAAATTTCGGATTATGGAGCTTTGCTAACAAAAATTTATTTATATCAAATTGGAGGCGTTTTTGATAGTTATCATTAGCCCTTGAGTTGACTTCAGGCTTAACAGAGGGGAAGGAACATCAAATTGAAAAAAGTCGAGAGGGGGAACAGAAGAGTGTTTCAAAGATGTAAGAGGCAAATACAAAGGTAGAAAAAAGGTGAGGCTAGTACTGTGGAAGTAGTCGAATATGACATAGAGTGGGGTGTTCTGGTAGTTTGAAGTGAGAAGTCAACTGCCAGGTAATAGACTTTTCTCCCGTATGAGTATACGTTGCCCGGGGTGCACCACGTGGAGGTTAGTCTATAACACACCCCTCTTTCAATTATTGTTCAGTGCTAATAATTCGAGAATTCAGCGTCCGAATTCGGCATACT